CTAGTTAAAAGACATTCCTAATAAATATTCCCTACAAAGCATGAGGAACGCATTTGTATCCTTCTCAGCAAAAGCTGCAAAACATTCAGTGGTGAAGCAAAATAATTCAACTGCTGGAGTTCCAGGAACCTTCCAGTATCACTAACCAGAAGTAATTTAAATTAAGACTGATATATACAAAAGATCTATCAATATCTTCTGAATAAGCTTTTTTTGGTTTTGCCTACCTTTTGACAAACTAAGAGAAAAGGGTGTTTATTTTTCCAAATAGAGAATAAAATGATTGCAGAGATTTTAAAATTTGTCCGATATTTAATTTTTCAGTCTTCTGAATGTAATTGATCATCACAGCCATTAATTTATACACAGTGTTGGTATTCCTTTGGGACAGAGCCATCTGTTCAATGGGAAGAGACGTGTGAGCTTCCTAAAGTGGCAGTTTCTGAACAAATCTTGCCCAGCCTACTACTTCTTTATAGATTACTTTCCACTAAAACATGGACCAGAGGAATTAAATTGGTGTTGCAAGAAGAGAAAGCAGGTTTTGATTATGCTCTATCCTAGTGACTGAGCGTCACCAGGAAGGACAGAGCAGTCCCAAAGCACTGAATATAAACTTGAATTCCTTATTTATGCTTGTGAACGTTCAGAGCACTTCCTCATTACCACAGACCTGAGGATCCCAGGCTATCAACATGTTCACTAAAAAAAAAAAAAAAAAAAAAACAAACAAAAAAAACAAAACAAAACAAAAAAAAAAAAAAAAAAAAAAAAAAAAAAAAAAAAAAAAAAAAAAAAAAAAACCAAAACATTATCAGGGAGGACTTTTCTTAAGAAGCCAGAGTACATGCAGGTAGCCAGATGCTTCAGGGAGCTTTCTGAAGGGCAAGCATCTCCTCACCAGGGCACTGGTGTCCACACTGCACCTCAGAAGTGACCATATTTCAAACTCATACTCAAGAAACACTCTCTGCTTGTCTTCATGATGGGAGACACCACAGCTCCTATACGAAGGTTGATGCTGCATCTTTCTTACCCATCATGGCTACCACAAAGTGAACCTGGGGTGATCACCCAGAGCCCATCCGCTCTCCAGACAAGCACAGATACTGCAGTTTTTCTGGTTACCCATCTGGCAGCATGTCCCTTCCAAAACTAACCCCATGACCACAGCTTGCTTTGGGCCATCATGCCATCAGGTCTTGGCTGCTTCACCTGCAGACAAACATGCCCCGGTCAGAGTCCCCTCAGACAGATCCACGGGGGCCGCAGGGCCAAAAGGGCTTCAAAGAGGCTTTCGGAAGCACGTCCCATTTCCTGATGAGTTCTGCTGTTTAATCACATAGTTAAAACCCAAGATAAGAGTGCAATTTAAGAAGAAATACTCTGCATGAAAAAAGAAATAGCCACTTGCTGAGCTACAGATGCCATGAAAGTACTAAAAATGCCAAGGGGAAGGAATTAAAAAAAGAAAATGAGGAAGCACCCTTCATTGCTTTGTGACTCCTGCACTGTGTCAACAGCCAGTGCTGGACACACGTGGAGAGTGGGAAGGCTGCGAGCAGCACCTGCCTGCACTGCCCAGCCAACCAGCCTGCCCCAGCTCTGCTGGTGCTGGAGGCAGCACCAAAAAGGAACAGCCAGAGAAAACAGCTCCATTAGATGCAGCCCTGAACACATAAGGATACCGAGGCAACGGATTCATAAACACATCGACGCAACTAATGCGTCCCTAACCTCTGCCTAAGGGATTGAACCTTTTTTAAAAATACAGCTGATTCGATCTGAAAGCTTCTTTGTAAATGCTTCAGCCAGTTGAACAGGCAAGAGAAGCTAAAAAGAAACACTGCATCTTAAAAAAAGCTCATTGTAGAGACACTATGGCAACTCAGGGGAAAAAAGGAAGAGAAAACGAATGGTGACTTATGAGGAGAAAATACCACCATCATTGGAAAATAAAAAAGGAAACTACACTATAATTATAACAGCTTATTATTATTTTTTATTATCATTCCAGATTATACTTCAGTGTCTTTCACACCTGCATTTAATGCGAAAAATGCGCATTCACAACTGGTTGAGATCCAAAGTGAGCAAGAGAAAGCGTGCAGGCTTCAGTGTTAAATTAAAACTACCACACTTTAATGCCAGTTGGAAATTTTTTTGTTTCCTTCCTCTCACTTGCATCCAGAACTTGCAGAACACTCCTATTCCAGGCCTCAGTTTTCTTGATGTCTAAAATGTCAGTGTAAGTTCTGCTTCTTTTTATTTCCCCACCCACCTTGGGTATCTTCCCACCTTGTTTCACTGCAGAAATCAGCCTTTGCTTACAGGCCACTCTTGTAAGAGGTGGCAAAGGAAGGGACTAGGAAAGGAAAGTTGCTTCAACTAACACCCAGCTTCAACAGAATCATATAATATCCTGAGTTGGAGGGTACTCATTGGGATCATTGAGTCCAACTCCTGGACCTGCGCAGGACACCCCAAGAGTGACACCATGTCCCTGAGAGCATTGTCCAAATGCTTCTTGAACTCTGTCAGACTTGGTGCTGAGACTGCTTCCTTGGAGGGCCCAACCGCCCTCTGGGTGAAAAGCCCAACCTGAACCTCCCCTGACTCAGCTTCATGCCATTTCCTCGAGTCCTGTCACTGGTCACCACAGAGAAGAGATCAGTGCCTACCCCTCCTCTTCCCCTCATGAAGAAGTTGTAGACTGAAATGAGGTTTCCCCTCAGTCTCCTTTTCTCCAGGCTCAACAGACCAAGTGCCCTCAGCCACTCCTTGTAAGGCTTCCCTTCCAGACACTTCACCATCCCTGTGGCCCTCCTTTGGACACTCTTTAATAGTTTAATGTCCTTTTTATATTGTGCATACAAAATTCAAGGTGAGGCCACACCAGTGGAGAGTAGGCCAGGACAATCATCTCCTTTGACAGGCTGGCAATGCTGTGCTTAATAGTAGCATGTCCTTTGGTGAAGTGAAGAGATAAAACACAGGGTGTCAGGCAATGGGGGAAGGGAGACAAGTAGGAGACAGTGAACATTTCTGCCAGCCTGAACCGTCCAGTGTACAGAAAGTTGACAAGGAAAAGATTGCAAGAAAAACAAGAATTTTGTGTGGTACCTATGGTGATGGACAACTATTCCTGATGAAAAGGTAAGAGAAAGAAATATGTGACTCTGAAGAACTAAGTAAGAACAGAAATAGAAAATACACAAACACAACAGAACTGAAAATACAAAAGGGTACACAACTGGGTATGCTGTGAGATAGTACAGGTAAATGCAGCAAAGGAAACAGAGAATCTCTCAGATAAAAAGATGGATTTGAAGAGAATAGAGAAAATAACGCCCACACGGAAAGTAGTAAAAAACAGAAAAACTATTTGTGGACAAGCATTAGGAGTTGGGCATATTTTAGTTTCTGATTTTTTTTTAAGCTCTTTGTTTGCTACTCTCATTTTAATTTTTAACTTTATTTCCTCCATAATTTGGGGATCCACAAGGAGGAATAAACACTTTCACTGTGACTGACCACCACTGATATCGTAATTACAGATGATGCTCAGATGTATTCATATGTACAAGTCATATACACCAACCTTTAAACAACATGGAAACTGCAAGGAAGAAGACAGACAAAGGCTAGGAGAGTCTCTCCTTTCTGATAATCTATGTATTTCAAATTATTTCTCCCCTCTCTGTCCCCCATACCTTCTTCACCATTTTCCAAATGTGTATTACACATAAGAGCTAATTTTACCACAGGGGCCCACTTCAGCATGCTTTAGATATTAGCAAAGGTTCAGTTACAAATACTTTTCCAGAGGATAACTAAAATCTTCAAGCTTGCTGCTTACAAGAATTCAACGACTTTTCCAACTATAAAGTTAGTGTGGTCTAAATTTGCAAACCACTTCTCACAAAAAATTAGTGTTTTTTTCTCAGGTCCCTTAAAATATACACACAGAATATACTATGGAGAGTAAGAACTGCAAAGAAGAGAAATATATACAACCTTCTGAATGAAGTAGATATTTTCACAGGAACAATAATTAAAAATACATTTGAAATGTTGGTCTGGTTTACACTTAGTCACTAAAATGCTGACAGCCACCAGTTTTCAGCAAATCCACCTTTTAATATCCAGGGGGGCTCTGAATGAGAAATTTGCTTTTATGGTAAACTGAAAGAAGGCAAGGCCACACCTGGAGCTCTGTGGCCAGTTCTGGGCTCCTCAGTACAAGAGAAATATGGAGCTCCTGAAGCAAGTCCAGCAGAGGACAACAAAGATTATTGAGGGACAGGAGCATCTCTCTTTTGAGGAAAGGCTGAGGGAGCTGGACCTGTTCAATCTCAAGCAGAGATGCCTGAGACGGGACCTCACCAATGCCTTTAAGTATCTGAAGGGAGGGTGCCATGAGGATGGAGCCAGGCTCTGCTGGATGGTGCCAAGACACAAAGAGACAAAGACAAGGGACAAGGACTAGAGGCAATGGGCAGAAACAGATGCACAGGACGTTCCACCTGAACATAAGGAAGAATTTCTTTAGTATGTGGGTGACTGAGCACTGGAACAGATTTTCCAGAGAGGTTGTAGAGTCTCCCTCACTGGAGATAGTCAAGAACCGTCTGGATGCAATTCTGTGCCATGGGCTCTACAATGACCCAGTTTGAGCAGGAAGGTTGGACCAGATGGCCCACTGTGTTTCCTTCCAATCTCACCCATCCTGTGATTCTGTGACTCTGTGAAATGAAATTATAATACTAAAATGCTAGTTACACTGCAATAGCTACTAAGGATCAACAATGGGAATATCAAAGCCTACAGTGGTACTCAACAAAATAACAGAAGAACTTAAAATGTACTGCTATAGATGAACTCAATACCTAAAACAGCATTTGTGTCATAACACAGCCTCTAACACCTCCACTGAAAAATTACATTTCACTGGCACCAGGTCTTGAATAAATGTAGAGTAAGATACGGTCATTACTTACTGGTTTAGTGTCACATCTAGGATGAAAGATGATCCAAAAGCATCAACCTGGAAGCTGGCTCGAGCAATGTGGGTAGACTGCAATACAGAAAAGACTGGAATTATTATTCAGCCACAACAAAGCATATTGTACTGGTTTGTGAATGCAGAAACAAAATACATATATACTAAGAATATTGATGTTCCTTAACCTGACTCTGGGCATCAACTGGTGGAGAACAGCTGAGACGTTACTGGTTTGGTCAGCCACCTGTACATTCACAATTCTCACCAACATTACCTGAAAGAAACTGTTCATTCAGACAAACTCTCATTTAGGACCATATAGTGAGGTGATAGCAGTGGGTTAAAATATGATTAGTTGCATTTTCTGTAAAGCTCTGACTCACCACCCTGTAACCTATCTCCTCTAAAAGGTTCCCAAAACTCCAGGCTCCTGAACAGTCACTAAAACCAAAGAAAAATGGGTGGTAGAAACATCTTTCTTTTCTTTCTTTTCTTCCTTTCTTTGCCATATATTTTCTCCAAATTAATTCCTTTCACAGTCCTATAGAGGACAAACATGACAAACGATCTATCAGAAACAGTGTTTTATTCTAATAGTAGTTGAAGAAAACACTCAGCTATTCAATAGAAACACACTTGTTTCTTGACCTGAAAACTCTCAAGAAACAGAATACCCATGTTACGTAGCTAATTAATAGGAAAAGCTACTTGCAGACATTTTGGAGGAATATCAACTTTGTTCTTATTTTCTTTCCATTGAAATCTGCACATTAAGATTTGAAGCATGTAGACAGAGGACTTAAGAGGAAACACTGAGGAACCACTTACAGCTCTAAACTACAGTTCTCCAAATAAATACAATACAGGATAGTACAACTGTAACAAATGATTTATTGAAAACTCTGGGAAACCCAGGGCAGGATGGGATAATGTGAATCATCAAATTCACTCTCTAAAACTACTGGCAGGCTTTCAATAGGCATTAAATCCAGAAGAGCTGAGAATACCAGCTTCCCTGGAAAGGAACAGCAGCAAAGAAACAGAAAGTTGACGGAATCATGACTTTTTTGATTACTACATTTTTTAGTTGCCCTACAGCAAAATTTTCTTTTTATGTCTACATATATAAGCATGAGTACTAATAAATAAAGAAGACAACAACCATTAATACATTTCCACAAACATGATGAATGTTTTAAAAATAATAAAAAAAAAAATGTCAGGACAGCTTCTCTTAGTAGAGGACCCTCAGGCTGCGTGCCTGCTATAAAAATGCCTGGCTGTGTCACTGCAGTGGATGTGCATGGAAAATTGCATGACAGGAAAATCCACACATTTACATTACACTTCAGAAGGACACAGTAAAACTGGAAAGCTTCTTAGAAAGTGCTTCAGTAGATCCAATTCAGTGTCAGATATCCTTTCGGCTATCCCCATTACACCTAACACAGGCCACAGATCTTTGCTAAGTGGTTCTTGTAATTTCTGGATGATTTAAGACCTTCTTTTTTGCACAAATGTATAGTCTCTGACCAACTAACTGAATATAACATATAATTTAGTTTATCTGGGCAAATAATTTCAGTGATTAATTAGCATCAATATTAAAAGCCTACTTTCTATCCAAAAAAGGTTAAAAAATAATAAAAAGGCAAGCCAACAAACTAAAAAAGGCACAGCCAGCTGGCAATGACAGACACCCACAGAATGTAAAGACACCCACAGCACGTACGGCACCCACATGTAGGACCATCATTTAGCTATTTCTGGCCTGCAGCAGCTATGCAACCACAAATACAGCAAAAACAACCACCAACAAATTATCACATTACCATTGTTGTTTCTTTTCTACCTCTCAGGCTGCAGAGTCTGCTTTGAATGATTTTAAAATTTCATCTTCTCTTGCTGGATGTGAATTTTTAAGCTGCTGCTCACAGATAGGATGTGACAGGCCAAGTATCAAGTAACATACAAGGAGCCAATGGTAGTTTTGTCATTCCCTTGTTCCACTGCAGCACATTTGCTAACCTTAACTAACCTTCATTTCCCTACCTGCACTGCAACAACCACCTTCTGATCAAAGGAGTAATGGCAGCACAGTTGTTCGCTTATCATCATTACATTATTAAATGGAAAGAACATTCTAAAGCACTTTATTATTTCTGTTTGTTAACAGTATATGCCATCATTTAGATCTCTTTACACGGTATAACCAAGTCTTTTATATGACCATATGCTGGTACCAAAAGACAGTCAGTAAGAAAAGAGAAAGCCTAACATGGATTTCTAGATGTACATATACTAAATGTAGCATTTGGTATTAAAATGTATTCACCTCACAGACCATAAGAGCAAAAATGACTAGATTGTTTTGGCTTGTTTTTTAACCACTAGGTATATTGCACCATATTGATTCGGTCTGGGAGATTTCCGCTCTTGAACATGTCTCTAAGATAAACAATTACAAGGCTAATGTATTTCTAAGGTGACCCTGGACCACAGTTACTCCCTGACAGAAACTGTTGATGTGGATTTAAGGGAGAAAATACCTCTTAATAAATTAATATGAAAAACATTACACAGATGTAACCATCCCCCAAGACTCGTGATACAAACCCAGAAAGCTTACCACTAATTTTAAGCTAAAATGCAATCAAGTGTATCCCAAGGGTATTTCAAGCCTTCTGAGATACTAAAACAATTTGGATAGCCTGACAAACTCAACCCTTTCCAGAAACTGCAGCCCTTCCTTCAGCACTGGTATGTGTTTGTAAAGCACTGTGACACTGCACACTGTGGGCTGCTGCCAAAAATGAGCAGTTCTGCCCCATCCTGGCCATGTGTTCCCACCTACTCCCCCTTGTCAGCTCATGTGACTAGCCACAAAGTCAGATCAGCATCAGAAAATTAATCACATGGAGTGGGTCCAATTTTTGTCAGACAAATAAGCTGATCCAAATAAACCATGAGGTAGATGCAATGCAAAGAAGCTGGAGGGCACACCCAAGAGAGACTGAACAGGAAGACAGATTACCCCTTTCAATGGCAGATAACAAATCTCATTCAGCATAAAAAAACCCCTATCCCTTAAGAGTTCCAGTCAGTACATTTTTTAGGATAACAGTTCTTCTAAATATCTGGTTAAGAACCACAAAATAAAGGAATGGATTTTAAAGTCTTGGCTCTACCTGCCTGCTCAGTGAATAGGTAAAACAATCAGCTGCAAAGAAGTTTACATTCATAGACATGTGACAATAAAAGAACCCAAAGAAAGGAAGTAAGTACTTTTCCACCTATACCACCTCATTCGAGCAGAAGTAACAAGAACGACACCTGCAAAGGCTTCTCTACACCACTGAAGCAAGACAATCAATTATGTCATCCAGTTCTCAAACCAAGGAATTTTCTCGGAAAGTTTGAGGCTTTTCCAACAACCATCAGCTTGACATATCAATGGCTGACAACTGAGTCATAAAAGGGGAGTTCTTGGAGACCAGATGTACTCAATGCAGAGCATGAACAAGAGCCAGGAAAGGAGAAGCTAACAACTTAATGGAAGAGCACAACGACATGCCTCCAGCACAATCAGAAAGTTCTGAAATTTTAATGTCATGCAAGTGAAGAAGGAAAATATCAATAACAACTCTGAAATTAGCTGCAGTACTTTCAGATGCAATTTCTAACAGCACATAAGGTGTATTAACCCTGCAAGCCCCTCCAGCAGAAAATACTAAGCATCCCATGCACCTAGTGCAACTCTGCAAGAGTTAACTTCTGTCAAAGATTGTGAAGCTTAACCATCTCAGCGAATGTCTGAAAGGAATCAAAAGTAAATGGAGTGGAAAGGATTATTTCAACTCACTAAGCACAATGGTATTTCATCTAAAACTAAGATTAAAAGTTCGAATTCTAGAAAAACAAAAGTGGTACGCAAACCTTCCTGCCAAACCAAGAGCAATGTGATTCCAATTATTTTAAATCACCTGCTCCATGCCTCAGGGATCACTGCAGTAACAGAGGAGATGGACAATCAGTACCAAATACGACTACTTATTATTACAAAGAAACACAACTGAATAATGATGTCCCTTCAGTATTCAGGCTGGGATTCAGTTTTCTCCAGAAACTGGCCCTGAAGAACAAGCATCTGCAAAGGGAATACATCTGCATCAACTACAACCATCACTGCAGACCAACATCATTGCACTGCACTGGAGGTAACCTTAAATGTGTTTGGAAGACTTTCATTTCAAATAGGTCAAATACCTTAATCACCAGTGAAACACTTACAAGCTGCACACTTTCTTTAATAATCAAACTAACAAGAATTTTGAAAGGAAAAATTTAGACATTTTCCTCACATTGTGTATAATTAGCTCAATGTTGAAAGCAGCACAGTAACATGATGACTAATCTTTCCTCATAAAATAAGGAAAAATAATAAAAAACATATCATGATGCAATGTGCAGTTCCTCATAAGATGTTTCTTCCTTCAGAAGTATCCTTAATAAAGCACTTAGATGCTTTTTAATAAGTTTTACTGGAAGAGATAACAACAATTTCCATCAAAACCAAACAAAGTCTTATGTAAAAAAAAAAAGAGGAGAAAATCCTATTTATATGCTTGCCCTTTGATGTAAAGAATTTTATATTTACTACTATTTATAGCATTGTGGTTTCTAATTAAAAGATTCTGATCAAATTCGTAGACTTGAAAGAAAAGCACCAAGAGAATCAAGAGATAAAATAATGCTGGATAATACAAGAAGAGAACTTAGAAACTATGCTTTCGAGTTTGCAAGAACAATGAGGTTTTACAGCAGATATTTGGGGATTTAGTCACATTTACAAAATAATAGATTCCTCAGATATTAATTTAATTTCCCCTCTCTCTATTTCACAGAACAGAAATGTCAGCTTCCTAACAATCCTTTAAGTGGGCATGAAATAACTGTTTCTTGAGTTCAGTAAGGACACAGCTAAGCCAATAGGAAATCAAAATAAACATATTAATGAAATTAAATGACAAATATACTAAAACTTTTATGCAGATTTACCTAAAAAAAAAATT